CTGTCAAACTAGACCTTTATTTTGTAACATATATGGAGTTACAAATAGAATATCTCTATGATTCAAGTTGTTTTAGGAACTAGAAATCTCAAGCTTGTCAACCATATATGGTAGGCCCAATAATTCATTCACATGAGAGAAAAAAAAGTATTTGAAGTCAGAATTGAAAACTTGCAAAAAATGTGTGAAAATTAGAGATTCAGGCTTTTAAAGGAATTTGGCATGAATAATTCATTTATATTGTCCAATTTTATTTATTTAATTGATGTTGAATAATTTTTTTTAATTTGGATTTTTTTTATTCACCAGACATTGTTTAGAAGTTTATTTTATTATTGCACTTATGTTATTTGATTTGTTAGTTTAGGCTTATTAGTTTTCAACTTAAAAGGAGTCCATTAGGGTTAGTTAGAGCACATTATATTATGTTTTTTTTTAGATGCAAATTTCAACAACATGTTGTAGAATAAACGTGATTTTTTCTTTTATTTGTTTGTGGCAAAATAACTCCTCTTTTTTTTTTTTGCATTGAGAAAGATTGCACACTAACTTATTGAAGATTTAACAAGTTTTGTGGCGTCATTTGCATACTTATGGTTCTTAGATACAAGGTTATCTTTGGATCCAAGTTTTTTTCTAATATCTTTGATTCTTAGGAACATGGTTACCTTTGAATTAAGGTTATATCAAACCTGATTTTCAGTTTTCTAAGTTGTTATTTACTTCGTTGGGAGTTGCTTGATCACATAATAAAAGGTTTCGCATTAATTTAGTATTTTTTCATATTTGAAATTTATATTAAATTTTATCCTTATTATTTTGATTAATAATTTTTATTTTAAAAAAATTCATCCCTTATTATTTGATTTCATTTAGTTTTTACTTTTTAAAAGTCATCCCTTATTATTTGATTTCATTTAGTTTTTACTAGTTAGGAACAAACCAACCTTTGTTTAGGCATAAAAATATAACAAAAGATAATTTTTTTAAAATAAAAAATATAATATTCAAGTAATTGGCTTGAGTGAGTTTAATAAACTTTGTTGATTTAATAATATCTTTAGAAAATAAAAATATTGACAATAAATAAAACAAAAAAACATAAATTCAATGTAAAAGATGAACGCTTGTCAATATTATGAAAATATATCTTCATAGTATTCCAAAAACATCAAAATAATCTTATTTGTTAACAAAGTATAAATTAAATGAGAATATGATAATTTCATAGAAAAAAACATGAATATAAAAAAAATAAGACAAAAAAATCAATTACTATTAACTTTTTAAACTACGATCTAGGTTATAAAATCAAAAACACTATATATATAAAAATCATGAGGGTAAAAATCATAAAAAAAAAAAAATCCAAAATAAAAAATACAATAAAAATAATGAATATTTAAAACTACAATGAAAAATAAATAAAAAAGCAACAACAAATTTTAATTTAAACTTTTGAAAGTTAAATAAAAAAGAATAAAAACATTAACAAAAGGATAAAAATAAACAAAAAAAATACATTATTAACTTAAATTGAAGGGTAAAACTAAAAATAATAAAACTTTTATAAAAGATTGGAGAAAAAAAATATCTAATCCTAAACATCAAAGCATAATAAAAAAAACTAAATATACAGAATTCTTCAATGTGTTTTTTGCACTGAAAAGACCCCTAGATGTAAATAAAAAATCTTATGTGTGCATCTAATTAAACATCCCAATAACTTTGTGCAAAACAATGAAAAAAAATTCATCAACAACAAATAAAAAAAAAATTGAGAAAATTAAGCGATAAATAAAGATCAAGATATCTAATATCGTAATAAAGGTAATTTACCTAGATATATTTAATGAATTTTTCTATCAAAATAAATTTATAATAGAAAAATATATAAAATTTATTATAGAAATCGACACAAGCATAAAATTTATTGAACAATAATTAAAAAAAAACAATGCAAGGCTTTACATATGAAAAAACTTATAAAATAATTAATATTAAAAAAAAATAATATATATAAAATTTAAAAAAAATCACAAATGAATCATGCCTACCTATTTAAAAATTAAACATACTCAATATTATTTAAAAATAATTACAAAATAATTAAAATATAAATCCAATATTTATTTAAAAAATATACATAAATAATTCAATATTTTTAAAAAAACTAAAAACTAAAAAATAAAAAAGAGAACTAGGGCAAACATTATTATGCTTGACCCAATAAAACAATGGTATATGAGTGACCTTTTATTTAAAAAATAAGTTTAATATGCCGGATGAAACATCGTCTGCCCCAGTTATTTAAAATAATAATGACGTGTTGCCTTAGAAACCTAGAATCTGACCATTGTGGTGTCTGTTAAAATAAAATCCTGTGTTTTTTCACCTAAAATCTCATTTTCAATTTATTTTTTACCTAAAACATCTAAAAAAACACTATAGACCTTGTTAAACCAATCCATGACCACCAAAAAGCTAATAAACCACCCCAAAACTCGAAATCCACCCAAAACAAAAAATCTTCTCAAGCTTAAATATGTTATTTTATGTGCTTTCAAGGTAACAAAAACACCTAAATGTAACACCCCTCGTCATATGAAATATTTTGAGATAAAAATTAAGTATTTTGGTAGTCGGAACATTTCCTAACTATCACTTTCTCTCTCTCTTACACGCTCTCTCCTATATAAAAGTACTAAAAAAAAATAAAGTTTAGTATTAAAATATGTTGTAACTATCACTTTCTCTCTCTAAATTGAAATTTAGTGACTCTTTTCTCTCTCTTACATGCTCTCTCCTATATAAAAGTACTAAAAAAGAAAAATAAAGTTTAGTATTAAAATATGTTGTTTTCAAATTCAAGAGACTAATTATCTAATATTTAAAAAATATAGGGGATTGAAATGAATGTTTTAATGAAACTTTCAAATCACCCCTTATGTTAAATGAGATTTTCATTTCAATTCCTAGCTTTCAATTCAACCCTCTCCCTTGAAACAATATGCAATTAGGGGTTAATTTGGGCTTAAAAGAGCCAAATAGCACAAAATAAAAATATAAAAACTAAAATGAAAATTATCAAAAAATACATTGCTCCAATCCATAGTGTATCGTGAGAGAGTGCATAATAATTCCAGCACGGTAAAAAGTTGTTGCCTTTTAGTTATCATTAATGTTAAATTTGATTTTTATTATTTTAACTATTATTGTTTTTGCTTTAGTTTCTATTTTGAATTATTTTTCAATTTCATCATTCAATAGTTAATTTATTTAAAATTTGGCTTTCTTAATTTTTCTAATACGGTGATCTCTGTCTTATAACTCAGGTCACATGTATGAAATTTTAACCCATATTGATATTAGTTTTTTTTATTGATTCTATTTCTTAATTTTATCATTAAATATTAAGTTTATTGAATATTAAATTTTTTTAATTTTTTTTCTTGGTTTATTTTATATGACAATAACCGGTCTCATAGTCCAAGTTATATATATTCCATGTTAGCTCGGATTAGCTTATGAATTTTACATTATTTTTTTTATTTTTTTTATTTTCATATGAAATCTATTTCTCATTCTTTTAATTCTTTTTATTATTTTATAAAATTGATTTTCAGTTTTTAATATTAATTATTAAAAATTAAATTTTATTATTTTTTAAAATAATTATCCCCGTACTATGCTTCACGATCCAGGTCACGAAGATCAGATGTTAATCTGCGTTGATATTGATCATCTTTTTTAATGTTTTTGTGTACCTTTTTTTTTTTTTTCCGGATTTCAACTTTAGTTTGTTAAATATTATCTTAGCCTGGGATTGATCATAATTTTTTTAACACCCCCTCGCTGTGCTTCACTAGTCAAGAGGTCCAAGAGACCTTTTTAGAGGTCATGCCTGTAGATCAACCAAGGCTGCCCTGGAAGGTGAGCATCTTGGTTTGGGCTTGAGGTGAGAGGGTCTTTATTTATTGATGGAGACGATGGTTTCTGTTTTGAGCCAACTAATGGGATTTACTCCAGGCTTATCTTCCATAATTTCCAGCTTTAAAAGGGCAGCGCAGGTCCCGGCTCGTTAAGAATGATATATACTCCATTATCTAGGTGATGACTAAATGATAAAAATTTAAGACTAAAAGATTTGTTTCTTCTGTGATCTCAGGTTTGAGTTCTTAATTGTTTATATGATGGTCACTGGAGGCTTACATGGTCGTTAACTTCAAGGCCTATGAGATTAGTCGTGGTGCACGCAAGCTACCCAGACACTCACATTAATTAAAAAAAAAAATGATATATACTCATGGTCATATGTTGTGAGGTCTGCAAGTGATGCCTTCTGGCAACAATGTGGCCAGATTTAATGCAAATGCAACACCTTTGAGAAAAAAACTGAAATAGCAAAAGGGAAAGATCATTCTTAGAAGCCAAGCATATGCAGCAGGCTGTGATTTGCTTTTCGAAACAGTGCTTAAATTTCCCCTTATGAGCAATCATATCTTTCTGCACTTTGCGGGATATGTTACTTAATCTTTACTTATTCCTGTGCCCTATTGGATTCTGCAGTATTTTTCTATTTGTCTTGCTTTTACTGCCTTTTGGTATCAACTTTCTAGCTACTAATGGAATTGCCATGTAGCCTCTCCTCCTTTTCTTCCCTTTTCGTTGCATCTCTTCCCTCTCCCTCTCTCCCTCCTTTTCCCTTCCTAATCTGCTTACCTCTCTATTTTCACTCAACTATGAGCAACATAATTTTTGCAGGTTGAATCCGCAACAAACCATGTTGGTTTGTCTTCACTAGAAATTATTTCTCTCCTGTAATCATGATGGATCAATGGGGCAAGGATTGATCATGTCACTGATGTGTTGGACAGATTATATATATGCACACCATTTGTCAAAGACAAAGAACAGAGTAATATGAAAATATAAAAAAATAAAATCCTAGAAAAGAAGAAGAAGAAGAGAGTATTAAAATAGAAGCAAGAATAAAATAAGTAAAAACCCTAAAGAAAAGAAAAAGAAAAGGCAAAGAGAAAGGATTTTAACAGTGATGGGCAAGTAAATGAGTGAGAATCATGTGATCCACCTCCACTCTCTCTTAACTTTGAATCAAAAGAAGCCATGACAACAATGCTCATTAATTATTCCACCTACAGCAAACCACCCTCTTCTACTCTTTCGTCCTTCTCTGTCTTTCCTTTTCACTTTCACTACTCTTTACCTCAACTGCTAATATTTCTTCTCTCTTTGTTTGTATACATCAATGGCTTCTAGCGCTTCAAGGTTCATCAAGTGTGTTACTGTGGGAGATGGGGCTGTGGGCAAGACCTGTATGCTTATTTGTTACACAAGTAACAAGTTCCCTACTGTATGTTAAATGACCCATCTAACTACCGCACTTCTGCTTCATAATTTGTGGGTTTTTTGGGATGGTTTAGTGTGTTTTTCCATCTGGGTTTTGCTGCTTTAAATTTTTTTGTTTCTTAGGTCAATCTTTAATTTTGTCTCAGTATCTCACAAATCCTTTAGCTTACGGGTTTCGCTACTTGGATAAAGTATCATTTTTCATTCCTATTTTCAGATAATGATCTTGTGCTTGGCTTTATTTTACTTATTTAGCATAATTTATTTTATCTCCATTCGACAGTTTCTTGCTTTCTGCTGTTGTTTTTAATCTTTCATGCAAGTGAATAAAAAATAAATAAATGTTATTTTTGTTTTGGGTTGGCTAGGATTATATACCAACAGTGTTTGATAACTTCAGTGCAAATGTGGTGGTTGAAGGAACCACTGTAAACTTAGGCCTCTGGGACACAGCTGGTATGATTATTTGGACCGCTGCATATTTTCTTTTTAATCTTTTTTTACATATTTGTGCCTTCTTTCTTTCCTGAAAACATGTTTGCATGCCTGGGAATCTTTATGATTCATTTGTTTCATTGATTTCCATAGGGCAAGAGGATTATAATAGATTAAGGCCCTTGAGCTACAGAGGGGCAGATGTCTTCGTCTTAGCTTTCTCACTAGTTAGTCGAGCGAGCTACGAAAATGTACTTAAAAAGGTCCAGCTTTTTTCCAATTTGTTATCACCTTACCTTTCTGATTATTTTTTCGGTTATATTTCTTGTTTATAAGTTTCAAGTATGAAATTGTTTGTCCAGTGGATTCCAGAGCTTCAGCATTATGCCCCCGGCATTCCAATAGTACTGGTTGGTGCAAAATTGGGTAGGTCTATTAGCAACCATCATTATTTTTCCTGCCTGATTCAATGCTGTCTATGAATATCTTGTTTTCTTGGTATTTGGCTATGTGATCCTGTCGGTGCTGTTTTGTCTAGGTTATTCTAGTTAGTATTTGCTTCACTGTTGTTGTTACATAATGTTTACTAGGAGAATATATATCTTCTTATCCAGAACTTGGTGAACTTACTGAAGGCAATTCTGACATGTAAATATTATATAATTTTGTCAGGCTCATTTGCATCCGCTTGATGATATAAGTACAGGGGTGAGACCAGGGTAGGTTAAAATAAGGACATGTTCATATTTCAAAACTTATATCTATCCCGAAGTCAAAATTTCTTGGAATTCATGCCATTGGTACGTTTTCATTGATTAAGAAGTTTAGGTAAATAATGACTTTCCTTTGTTACATTTTAGTTTTAATTGATATAGTTTATGCACCCTAGAGAAAATTAATGTGGCTTTGCTGCGGCCTATGATTTCTAGAACTTTTTCACCATTCAACCTTGAGCTTCAATGGATGAATCATGTAACAGTCACAAATTTTGAGCAGACTTTCTATACACGTATATATATCAACAACACCCTTCCAGTGGAAGGTAATGTACTATTTTTCAGATTTTGACTTTCAAATTCTTGAGTATTAGCAAGTAGGAGATAAAGTTTTTGGAAAGAAATTATATGTAGATCAATGTGTGTAGCTTAAAGATGCTTTCTCAAAGCTAGAGGTCTAAGGTTTTTTTATTGGTAATCTTTAAAAAAACTGAGAAAGAAAGAAGGAAAGGAAGGAAGAGGAAAGGGAGAAGTTTAGGAAACTACTGAAATCAATGGTCTAGTCATATAAGGGTTATTTTTGCTATTAATATTTGGATTTTTTACAAGGACATTCTTGAAAAACCTGAATCCCAACTGATATTTCTGCCATGTTTAACCATTTGCCTTCTTAAAATCGGTCCTTATTCTTCAGCTATGATAATTCTTCCTAGGAAACTAAGTGAATTTTTCCTTCCCTCGGTTGCCTCCCCAAATGAATGCGTGTGTTTTTTCAATTCTTCACAAACTGATACTGACAAACACATTGTTTGATTTGAATATGATGGAATAGCATAAAGAAATGATGTTCATAATTACAGGTTGACAGAACAACACTGAGAAGGTTTTTTCTAATATTGTATATTAATGGAGTGGCAACCCAAATAAAATGATTTTCAAGCTGGTGATGAAGCTAATGGTGTTAATGGAAAAATTACTAGCTACCTGGCAAAAACTTCAACCAATTGAATGTTGGTAAAGGAATGCTGAGTTGATTTTTGCATGCAACTGCATGAAAGGTGGTTTTTAAAAAGGTCAGGTCAGTTTGAGGAAATATTGTCTAGTTATGGTTCAACATGTACTGTATTGAGGGGTACACATTAAGAGGAGGAATGTTCAAAGCACTGGCCTGGTTATGAAAAGTGAAGAGGTTTTGTTTTGTCAAACTGGTTAGTAGCATTAAATGTTTGATTGAGATGGATTTGGAGGATTGAGGATTTGTTGTGTGATCATAAAATTGTTAAGGCCAGTTCTCAAGTTCAAATACTTTAGCAAATTAAAATTCTTAGGAAATTAATCCATTATTTGTTAATTATTGTTCTATCAACTTCCCTGCAGATAGGCTGCAATGTGCATTCTCTAGTCTATTAATTCTTTATGCTATTCCATAACATTTTATAATCTGAGAGGGAGTTGTTCAACGATCTTATTAGATTGCAAAAGGCATGAATGTTGGTAAATCCTTTTTTTTTTTGGAATCTTATCTGGCAAAAGTGAATAAGAAAAAGAAAGAAATATCAATCACTCTTGCAAATATGGACTTCTTTCCTTTTTTAGCGGGCCAAAATAATGGTGGTCATTGCATTTCTGAAAGAAAAAAATGAATAAGAGAAGGAACAAAATATTGATCATTCATGCCAATAAGTACAAGTTCTTGTGCCAAAATAATGGTGATCATTGTTTTTCTGGAAAAAAAGGAATGTGAACAGGAAAAAAAATGAGTTTGGTTGTTACCAATTTAAAGTTTCCTCTGGATGAATGAAGGATCTATAGATTATTTCTCTCTCATTTTATTCTGTACAAAATTGAGAATGTTCTCTCCTTTTGACATTTCATGTGATAGACCTAACTGGAATTGAATTTTGTGCGACAAGATTACTGCTCATATCAAGTCAAGGGAATGGCAATTACTTCTTGTTCTCGCTTCATTCCTTCCCTCTCCTTGTTCTTACTGTTTCCTCACAGACTTTCATGTCAATGATTGTTGCATGAATAACATGATCTATTTTTTTTGTAAGAAAAGTTGATTATGATTCCATACTATGTGGCTTCTATTTACAACTCAATTGTATAATTATATCATGGTCCTTTGCACTAGCTATTTTATTAATTTCACTTATGAAAAACATAATTCTGTCATACTGTCATGAAGCCTATCAGTCCAAGTTTCCTGACCAAATGGGAACTCCTGCCTCTTTGATGTCAAGTGAAATGGCATTGCCTCTCATGTCCTTGAAAGTACTAGATTATGAGCAAACTGATTGACATGAGCCGAGCCATTCATACTGCTTGTCCCAATCCATGATGTTTCATGGATTGACATTTAACCTTTATATTGTGGTGGTTAGCTATGTGAAGCACTGTAGATGTGAATCTAATGCATCATTTAAAACGGACATGTAGATCTTCGTGAGGATAAGCATTATTTGGCTGATCACCCTGGATTGGTGCCTGTGACCACTGCACAGGTGCAGTTTCTATTCATTGGTTGTTTATAAATTTTTTTCTTGGTTGTCATGCAATCAGCATTTTTAATGAGATGGATTATTATGATCAGGGAGAGGAACTCCGAAAACAAATTGGTGCAGCATACTACGTCGAGTGTAGTTCAAAAACTCAACAGGTATGCCATGATTTGGCAATATGTTGAACTTTATGAGAAGTACCGTGTATACTATCCATGATAACTGACTTGCCCTGCTAATAATTTTCTGGGTGAATTGCTCATATAAAGTTAAGTCTCCTAGATGAAAGGAGATAGAAAAAAGTACCAAAAATTTTACACCTGCAAGTGCATGCAGTATCTGTGGTGTCATTCTCCTGATTTAATGTTATTGTGCTTTTCTGGTTTACCTCTCGCCACAAATGCTTGGCAAAATTGATATTCTAGTTATGAAAATTTTGTACAGGGGCACTGTGTTATTTGTCATGCATCCTGACCATGCGACAGTCCCAAAATAACAAATTGCAGGCTGACATGTACTAATAGTTTTGATATCATGTTATTATTATCATACATGAATCTTGCCCTTCTACTATTGTGCCAATGATGATCTTTTCTAACTTTTCCTTCCAGGCATTAGATTACTTTATTATCATGTTGTAAATGACAAGTTTCATACTTTTGCAGAATGTCAAAGCAGTTTTTGATGCTGCAATAAAGGTAGTTATCAAACCAGCACAGAAACAGAAGGAGAGGAAGAAGAAGCCACACCGAGGATGCCTGTTGTCAGTACCATCATTTCTCACACTTTTAATGAGTTTATAATTTTTTGATATAGATATGCAAAGTTTTCTGTTCTCATATTCTCTCCACACATGGATCTTGTGTATCTTGATGTCAGTTATTTTGTGTTTTATAAATGTCTTCATTGGCATTTCTGAAGTTGCTTTTTTTTCTCAATCCCTTTTGCTTGAGCCACTGCCACCACTTGAGTAATCATGTCAAACCAAATGGAAACTTTTAATAATTTTTAGACTAGTAGTTTAAAGGCTCCTGTGGTCGTTTCTAACAAATGTAATTAGTATTCCTTTTACTTGTACAAGATTAAGCGGTTGGCATCTCAGTTGTATTGGCGAAGTCTTACTTTAAAATAGTGGAAAAGGAGGGCAGGGACATGATTTTTGTGGATGCATGGGAATGTCCAAGGCCCGTGTCCCTTTAGCTGCTAAAAGCGACCATCTAAATTACACATCCATGAGAAGATAGCGTTGGAAGAATGAGTTCAAGCTGTAAAGTCCCGTGGATATTCACTGGTGATTGTCAATATGTGGGTTCAAATAAGTACATATTGGAATGAAAAATAAGATCGAGAGTTGGAGAGAAGTCTTGTGGAGATAAGAGTTTGAAGAATAGTTTTAAATTAATGGAGTCTCATAGATATAATATTTATTCATTATGCAACCTGAGTTTCAAATGGTTGTATTGAGATTTTTATGGATGAGACATTGAGAAAGAAGTCTTATGGATATTTACTGGTTCATTGTGCAATATAAGGGTTCTAATAGGTGTATCGAGATCGTGAACGCTGAGGGCTGTATGGGAAGAGATATTTTTCATTAATTTGATGGAATGCGTGGATATTCATTTCTTAATTGAATCATGCTGCTTATGAAATTTCTAACTTATTCTTGATGCCTCTGTGTTAGAAACATCAATTGGTTTCTGAGAGCATGAGCTATAAGATATTGACACCACGTATATAGGCATTCAGCCCTCACCAACATGAGACAAGGCAACAGTTACTGTTTCTGTGAGCGGTGTCTTTTGTCATGTGTATACTGGCTGTCGTAGAGGGAGCATTAAGAATGAGCAGATATTAGGGATGACCTGATGTCCTGCCTACTGCTAGCTGTATGTCTTTTGTGATTGAGTTTGCCATTGTCACAATAGCCAGCTGGTTTCTCCTCAGAATGCATGCACATCGCTAGGGAATTATTAGAATGATTTCTGTCTTGGTGTCATTAACAAGCGCTCGTGTCTATGATGATATTTGATAGGCACCCCCGCAGAGATAAGTACAGCTCTCGTATCACCCCTTCATGTTGTATTTTATGCTCGCAGAATGTCGTGTTGTTTCTTCCCTTTGCATTGATAAAACTAGCTTCCCATTTTTGCCAATTTGTTTCTCTCATGTCTGCTTCCACTCTAATCTTCTATATTTTGCTTGCGTGTGCTTATCAGAATCTGAGCTGCTCCTTTTTCTTTTGCTTGATTTCATGTGAAATTCAGAAATGTCTTTTGCGGGAGGAGGCTTGTGTGTCTGAAATGAAGTACCCCTCGTCTCCAAAAGGTGACTGCTCTTTGGCGTAACTGCGGTGCTACACTGCTAAGATACTGGGTCCTGCGAGCTTGGATTTGAATGCACTATATTTTGATTGCGGCATGGCTCCTTGCTAAATGTCACTCTCTAATTTTGTCCTAATTTCAGTGGAAAAGATATTTTCATCCAGTATCTCCTTGCATTCTAATATATATATATATATATATTGTAACTCATTGTAAAAGGTGGAGTTCAGCTAGGTTTGTTGCAAGTTTTTATTCTTCATGGCATCTTTCCTGACCTTTCGGCTTGCAAGTTCAGCTAGGTTTGCTTGTTGCTTCCACCGAGGTGATTGTCGGTTACTCTTTAAGCTTTACAAACCTGATAGTTGTGAAAACAGAGAAGACACTCTCTCCGGGCCTTGTTGGTGCCGCTTCTTCGATCCCTATATTCAAAGATAAGGTTGAAATTTGATTGATACGGAGGGTGATGTTGCTGTACACACAGGAAAGAGAGAAGAAAGCTTCCCACCCATGGCAGACATTATGGAAGCAACAGCCCGATACTAGTGGTTACCATGTGGTCGCTACTTGAGCATCTGCGCCATTTCTGGTTTCCTATATTATTCAAATTCAGCGGCTGTGAAGGGCATCAACAACGTCCCTTCCCGCCCCCGAGGAATTAGAACATAATTATTATTATCGTAGCACATATAGAGCTTTGAAAAAGCCAGCCCAACCCGTCACCATCGAATGAAGTACCCATACAATCCGACAACAGTTAGAAAGAGAAACTTGGCAAACGTGATTTCATATGGGTCGTTTGAAAATATAATTTATTAAAACAATATTTTTTTTAAAAAAATTATTTTTAATATTAACATATAAAAATAAAAACAATTAGAAAACATTAAAAAATATTAACTTCATGCAGAAACATAAAAAAATTTCAAAAATACTTTTATAACTTAAACAAACCAGGCTGGAACTGGAATAATGAATGTTTCATCCTAGAGACGACGAACCCCTAACCTAAGATTGTCGAGATGCAATTTAATTCTAATAATGGTGGTTCAACATTTTTCAGTCGAATCTCAAACCTAAAATGGAACCTCAGCTAAAATACAAATACAATTCCCACAATGAACCACCACCCTTGCGAGCTTTCAACCAAATTCTATACCAACAAACATACAGGGCACCGAGAAAAAATGATCTGCTACAATAGCTATTTGTGGAAAGGATCTCTTGTCCTCCGAAGCCAATGCCAACGCCGAACACAGTGATGGCGCAGAGGCCACCTTTAAAAGACGATAGCAGGCGTTATATCGTTGGTCAAATAGAGGACCGAAATGGTAAAATATCATATACAAACACTAGATTGGCTTACAGTTTAGACACCCTTAAGTTGGGTAGAACTGGGTGTATACACCAGGTTAATAAATAGAATAAATTAAAAGGAATACAGCATCCAACCATATCAACTAAACCACATGCCAGAGCAAGATAAGCTTGAGCACCAAAATTCACTGACCACTCTGATTATATGTACGTGATTAAAAGTGAGAATGAAAAGATAAATGAAGAAAAATTGCTTAAAAACAAAGCACATACAGAAGGGCTTCTGCTTAAAGAAGTTTACTAATCCAATCACCATTCATTCTCGCGAATGATTGGAAAAGAAAGGGTGATTTTGCCTCCAGCAGTATAAATTGTCGATGCACTGCACAACAGTATGGACACCAATTTCAAATGTCTGGGCAACAGGGTCACAGAATGCACGCTTTCCATTGGTTAAAATATCTACAAAGGGTAAAGTAAACTGCAGCTACCCAGTACAAATTCAAGGAAATGACAGCTCAAACGACCTGGACAGATTCCTTTCACGGTACAATCTGTCCCTTTAACATACAATGGGTACACTGACAGGGTGGGGGTTGGAGGCTGAAGATCAAATAACTCACTTACCACCCATCCTTGAGAACACATGTTAGATGATCTTTTGGAGTTAGCCAACATCAATCCAGGAGAACTGTAATTGAAAACGCAAAGAAAGCAGAAACACAATTACTTGACCTGTGAGCAAGAACTCAAATGCCCAAAAGAATGCAAGTTAGAGAATGTTTCCTCCAACCTCTTATAAAATAAATAAATAAATAAAGGCAAAACATGCAGCCTTACAGATAATTCATACAGTGGAGGCCAAGGTGAAACACAGAGTAGAACACATATTTACAAAACATGACAAACTTACTGGGGATCACTGGATTGTGTCATTATTCATCCCTATTGCCATGAGGATTGCTTATAACCTTCCCATTCACCCTCTGGCTCCTTCCTCTTCGGAACACCTCCGCCAGTCACTTGATACATCCTCGATTGCTCCTCAGCAAAGGCTGGTGAACTGACAACTGACAGTTGCCTTGATGCAAGAGCTGAAGTCTCATCTCTACCTTCAATGTCTGGGCCTAGAGGCCCTGCATTGAGGTCTAGACCCTGCCTTACCCATTTCCTACTGCTCTCTGCAGCACCATTATTGTTAATGTCTGGGAGGTTAACAGCATAAGAAGGCCTTGGATAATGAGATGAGACTGCACCTACCGGTGCTGCTAATACTTGAGAGGTTACTGTGGGAAAGCAAAGCCTCCCACCAGATGATGAATCCACATACGATGCTGAACCACCTGAAAAAGTTGCAGAGGGCAGAGGGAAGCTGTTCCCAAAAGGAAAGACAGGATACTGAAAGGGAGTAGATGGAAACGGCACTGCTGGAGAAGATGACAACACTGCTCCCCTGTAGATATCAGAATTAAACGGGATGTTGCCAGTAGAGGGAGCCAACATCCTCCGAGGCCCACCAGTTGCAACTATAGGGAAAGGCTGCTCTCTTCTATCATGCAAGATAGATTGGATCGTGGCAGCAGGATATGGATTCCCTTGAGGAAACCAGGAGGGCAAGCTTCCCGTTTCAGTACTGTTGATCCTAAGGCTAGAAATAGATGGTTGGGATGGCACAATATTTCGGGTATGCTGGCTATGTGCTGATGGTTCGGCACTCACCTCATCAACAAGTGGGCCATCATTTAAATCAAAGTCCCTGCAACTGCTGACCTCTCCATTTAGAAGAACACCTGATGACAATTTGGCAGGAAGTAGTGGGGCATCCAGCCTCCGACCAATGCTTGTCAGGTGATTACCCATATCACTAGCCTCATCTGCTCTATTCAAATCAAGATCAAATCCCCCAAAGCTCCGACCAGATAACGAACCCATCAGTGTATCACGTGAACAATCATTATTTTTTGCACGGTCAGAGACAGAAACAGTATCCTGAGCAGAAATTCGAAAAGCCAAATCCTCAAGGATTCTTTCATCAGGTACATTCAAGTCAATATCCAACAAGGGCCGACCAGGCTTGGACACCATTTCATCAGGGAGTGAGATGTTAGCTGTACCAAATGAAATCTCCAAAGCTTTTCTAGGTTCAGCTGGACGAAATGCGCTAGTGGCTGCTGATCCCTTCCAACCAAGCTCCCCTCTACTCTTAAGTAAATCCTCTGGTGGAACAAAAGGCCCTTTTGCAGCAGCAGCTACTGTAATGGAAGCAGGAAGCCCACTAGACACGGAAGAAACTGGCAATGGAAAAGGGCTAATTAGTTGAATAGCAGCAGAACATGCAGGTTCTCTCAAGTTATTTTGTTCCTCATATTTCCCATCATCAGCAATAAAGCCTTCATTCAGATCAAATTCAACTTTTGTTTCCAGATCCGATCCCCCTGTAGCAGATGAAGAAGCATCAGCAGCGGCAGATGTACATTCCTCAGTTTCATCAGCTCCTGAGCCAGCCAACTTTGACCCTGTTGACCTCACTACTTGTTCTGATGCCTGAACAAGTGTGGGTTCTGCCTTGTGAGCAGCTGGTCTGGCACTACATTGCTTATTGCCCTGATCGCCCCCCAGGCTCTCCACCTTGCACTCACTTTCATAATCAGTTGCAGCTGAGGCTGTATTACTTTCATGTTCAATTTTCTTTTTCTCGGTATAATGACTTCTGCCATCTGTTCCACCAGCCTTCACATCATGCATGTTTTCAGAAATCGCATCCTTACCAGAACTAGAAGGTTGGGGCATTTCATCATTGGTTCCTTTTGAAAAATCAGACTGCATCATAGCAGGTGGTTTTGGATCTGCCTGAATAGAAACATCCAGCTCTTTATTCATGTTTTTATTGTTCTCACCATCAACCTCTACATGATGGTTTGATGATGATCCTTCAATTGCTTCAGTCCCAACTTGCACTCCTGTATAATTCACCTCAGTTAAGACAGAACCATGCAACTTATTTTTGTCCTCAGATATGCCATCCCCCTCTTTCTCCCATGGTTCTTTGCCCCCACAATTTGATGTTTTCACAGCCATGCTAGCAGCGGACACCGAAGCTGCTAATGTTTCATCAGATTTCACATGGCTTTGCATGCATGGTTCAGCAGCATCCACACTGGAAGAATTGGAAGGTCCATTGAGCTCCCCTGCATGTTTTTCTTGTGAAAACAGAACGGTTTTAGCCTCTGTGTTCTTGGATGGAGGAGTGCCAACAACAGTAACCCGCTTCTTGTTGTCATCATCAACACCATCAGCAGACTTACCCTGGCTTTGAGCAGGATCGTCACACGGAGATGATTTTCCTCTCAGACCACTTGGTGCACAAAAGCGCTCGATGGGCATGCTTATACAAGGAGAATTTGTTGGTGAAACCACATCAGACTTGGAAATCTCCCCAGCAGCTACACTAGCAAGCAGATTCATACCAACATCATCACCAACTGTCATTGATGCATTTCCTTCAGAATACTTCACACAACTTTCAATCAGGGCATTCATGGAGCTGAAAGAAGCATCATATGACTTCCCTGATTTAAGTTCAAACACAGTCAAAGAGGGTGTAGTTTTTGAGATTTCACCTAATTTCCTTGCATCATCACCTGTCCGACCATGCTCTTTATCGAGAACATTGGCAGGCGACCCATCTCTCTCATCTGATGCAGTCAGCACCTCCTTGAAATCATTGCTTTGCCATGACTCAGTCTTCACATTTGATGTGATATTAACTTGATAAGGATCATTTTTTTCCTTCAAATTGTGATCAAACTGGTCACGCCTCTCTGAAAGAACAGGAGAAGAAGCTCTGCTATTCATGACTAAAGCATCTTCAAAAGTTCCTCCACTGGAACTTTGTGCGGGACTGCGACCTCTATTGGGAATTTTAACAATCAATTTATGGTTATTCCCCTCAGCCATGGGAGAATCAAGTACCTTCTCACATGCCAAACTAGACTGCTGCAATTTCTCTGAACCTGGATTTTTGTGCAAGGAAGAACTTCTACTTGACCCACTATCTCTTTGGGTCCCAGATAAAGCTGGGCCTGAAAAGCCATTAACTGGTTTACGATGCCGCAAAGAGCCACCAATGATCTTATTTGCTGCCATTGAAACAGCAGTGGAGCTCCTTGCATCCTCCTTTCCTGACATTCCCACAGTTTTGGCATGTTCGCTAGAACAAGATTGACTGTTGTTGTGGGACTGACTAGAACTGCTGCTTTTCTCGTCCCTAGCTGCTGATACAGGTAGATCCATGGTACCACTGACACCAGTATTTCTGGGCTGTCCATCTTTCAAATTATTACCAGCTGCATTAGGTGATGCTGCTGGTTTTATGGGCCCTGGAGATGATCCAGACTTGGTCACAGTCTCTCCTTGGACAAGCTTGACTGGACCACTTTTGGAAGCAGAGAGTTGCACAACTGAGCTCTTCATTGCAACCTCAGAAGATACACCAGATCTGTTCCCACCATGTGAAACTTCAGGAAGACGTGATCTGGCAGTCCAGGAGACATCTTGGTTAGAGCCAGACTTTGCATTTGCATCCATTTCAGCCTCAACACGTTTCTTCCATGTGTCAACCAAGCTCCTTGCTTTCTTCTGTATTTCCAAGTTCTTATGCGTCCGCAAATGATTCACAGATTTGCCAATATTACACATTTGCAAAGCATGAAGATTTATTGGGAGTTTATCCAATGCACGAAGCAAAACTAGTAGAAATTCCTCAACAGATTTATCACCATCCTTGTGGCTACTACCATCTCCAATCTTCCCTTTATGGACCTCCTGCAACCATTCATCAAATACAGGCAATCCCCTTAGCTGCACAAACCGATTTAGGCAATCAAACTTATCTGTGGCAGCTATCACACCAGCCAGTAATGACCGGCCAACCAAATCTACTTTTCTCTCGTTCTTCTCTGGCAGCATGAGATGCACTAATTTCTCAACCCCTTCAGAATCCACAAGTCCACCCTTTTCTGTAAATTTAGAAATCTCAGATTTCCAAATGCTTTCAGGTCTATGAACAGAATCCCCATCATCCATTTTCATAAAACGTTCTCGTTTAATGGGCTCAGACACCTGATCTCCACGATCCCTTTTCTTTCCCTTAGATTGTGAAGGGAAGGAGGGGGCATTATTCTGTATGCTATCAGAACCAGGCTTCAGCTGTGGTGTTGAAGTTGGACCATTCATTGTCTTAGGAGAACATCCACCAGACTGAATTGTTGCATGCATTTCTAAGCGTGTCTTAGATAATAGCTGATCCACTACTTCTTGCCGTTCCTGTGTAAAAAAGAGTTAACCAAACAGAATTGACAATTCAAAGCAAATTCAAGAACTGCAGCTACAACTCACATTAATATAATCCTGATCAGTTAGCCACCATAAACATTTGTTTGTAGTGTCATAAACTCGCCGGCAAACAAATGAGCAAATCCCTGATGGAAGTTCAACACCTTTTGGAAGGAAGGCAACTTTACACGGATGGAGTAGTGATGCGGCAGGAATTTCATCCTTGTGAAAGGAAAAGAATACTTCGTTTGGCGCAGCTTCCAAAAGGATGCATTTGCCAAGCTTTATGTCAGCAGGCCGATAAAGCCAATTCACACCTAACTTTAACTTGTTCTCTTTACCAGTAGTCAGTCTCTGAATTATTCCTATGAAAGGAGGGGAATCCTGGGGCGGTTTGAACAGAGCACAGTCTCCAACACTGATCTTGCGTCCATCCTGTTAAAGGGGGAATAAGTGACAGGGCACTTTAGGTAACTTACTAAAAGTCAATCTTCATACCAATAACTTCAGCAAATGTTCTGCTAACATAGAAAAAAATTTACCACGCATTTTGACAGGATAAATAATTGCTGAATGGAATATCATTAATTGGCAGCTCCTATCATAATAAGGATATCATTATGAACTTCATGGATTAAAGATCATCGCTCGCTAGTCCTTTTTTCTCATTCCATTCATTGAGTACTTGATTAAGCATCAACATATCAACAATGGTAAACCGAGCCATCAATCAGAAAAGGAAGCAACATACAGAATAATTGAAGCATGTGATGATCAGGAGAGATCAATCATTCGAATTTACACTTTGCACAGCGAGAAAGTAACAAAGCTGATTGTTCAGTCAACAATCACAAGAAAACAAGTGAAATTCAAATTCCATAACCTCATGCAACCTTCAACTACAGCAGAAAGCTAAATGACAGATTTCTATACACAAACCAAACCCAAACTTGCTACTGAAAAAATTCATAAATACGGGAAAAAAACATAAAACAAAAACTGCCCCGAGAACCCAATTTAAGCACCAATATCATGTGGCAACACAAAATCAGTCTCCAAAAGCCAACTTAGCGAACCCAATACAACGGAGCTGTAATATCTCCACGTAACCGAAATCAAAGAAAATCTGGGTCAATTCCTACAATTCCTATGTCAGACAAATAATATCTTCCTCTTTTGTCAGCGAAGGTAGTCATTTCCCCAATTATTCATCATTGGAAGCCGTATAACATAGACTCCATAATCGAGACAAGAACACAAAAATAACAGAAAAAAAAAAGCCCAAGAGAAAAGGAGTACCTTGTAAAAAGAATAGGCTGGAGATGACAAAGAAGAAGAAGAAGGAGAAGGAGAAGAAACAAAATCGGGAGCAGCTACAACTGAATTGTTGTTAACACGTATGGGAGCAGTCAACATGTGCCGGATACGATCCTTTTTCCTCTCCTCCTCAACTTCCCGCCCATGCAGCATAGCCTTGCATTTTCCCCTTCGAGTACCATCAACCCTTAATCCTAACTCACACTTCCCCTCTCAATTAATTCACCAATTCAAAAACCCTAGATCCAACCAAGGCCAAAAAAAGGAAAAGAAAAACCCTAGCTTCTGTAGACCGTTTAGCAGTGCAATTCAAACCTAATTTGACCAAAATCAATTAACACCGCTGATCAATCGATCCAAATCGATATGCGATCCGTTAAATAAGAGATTCTGCTTTGATTTAGAGTGAGAAGATGAGGTATCGAGAATCTAGAGTGAGAAAATCATGGAGAAAGAAAAGCGAGCAGGCAAGCGAGAAATCGTAGAGAGAGAGAGACGGCAAAAAGAGGAAAGGTGTACGTGGTAGATAGACGGAACCATGGACCGAGTCTAGTCCCTGTCAAAAGAATTGATGGGCCTGAACCATTTTTAGCCCTCGCATCTTTTTGGATCAGATCTACGACTCTTCTTATATAATAATGAGCTAATTCATTATTTACCAGTTTTTATATTTGTGTGAATATGAAGAATATTGATGAAATCTTTGAAATATAAAAATAAATTTGAAATCTTGAATTGTTGAATAAAATAAGAGTTTGAAATGATTGTATAAAAAATGAACAATGATTTTGTATTTGATGTAGATAACATGGTATAAAAAATATAAAATTCTATCAAAATTATAGTAGAAAATAAAAAAAAATCACTCTTATATTAAATTGAATTATGATGCCCTTATTTTTAAATTAAGTATAAAGAGTGGTACCAGAGCTCTGGTTTGAGTTCAAGAGTTGAATTGAGATTTAATAAATATTAAATTGTTGCAGGACGGTGTGCACAAAGTAAGTTACAATGACAAATCGCTTTTCAGTACAAAAACGGGGTAAGATCTTGGTTTAAAAAGAGAGAGATAGGTAGAGGGAAAGAGAGAATTCAGCCTTCTAGAGAA